TGTTTGTCGTTTAGTGCCCAAACAGAATTAATTTATTGGGTAAATTACATTGACATCCCTTGGGGTTTGGTCCAATTACTATCTACCCCCTGACATTTTGGAAATTACATTTCCACCCCTGTGGTTAATAGTTTCATTTTACAAACCTCCCTGCTTATATAAAAAGTAACAACTCCTAGAAGAAAAAACAGAGGAAATTACATTAAAAAAAAAGTAAAGGAAAGGGGGAAAAAAAAAAAAAAGAGAAAGTAAAGTAAAGCAAAAAAAGAGAGAGTGCATGAGTTCAATGTTTTCATTCCGTCTAAATAATTACAATGACAAGGGGGTTAGTATAATTTCCCAAACGTTAGGGGGTGATATGTATTAAGCCTAAACCTCAGGGGGTGTAAGTGTAATTTACCCTAATTTATTTAAGTACAGCGAAGACTGTCCAACAATCTTAAGACAGACCATTTTTTGTATCTTTATTGTATTTAATTTTCTGTGTTTTCACAAAGTGATATTCTGGTTGGAAAATACAAATAGTATTTATAAACTATTTGACAGATAGTAGTAATATACTGTCTATTCTCTTTGACAACTAGTAGTAATATATTGGTGTCATTAACAATTACAGAATATTATTTGGTGTTATAGAAAATTATTGTGGTATTTTATTTTTCTGGTTTTAGTAACAAGGAAAATAAAATTATTTTGTATTATAATTTATTTTCTGGTTTTAGTGACTAGAAAATTAATTTGTGGTTTGTTTTTCTAATTTTTGTAATAAGATATTATGGCTACTGTAACTGAAATTACAACTGGAAGTGGTACTCCAATTGTTACACCAACTCTTGTCCCTATCCAGAACCATGTTCAAGTACCAATCAATCATGGAGAAAAATTGGAAAAAATTAACGGTACTAAGTTTAAGAGATGGCAGCAGAAGATGCTGTTCTATCTTACAACTCTAAATTTGGCCTGATTTCTCCATGAAGAGGTTCCAGCACTTAAAGAGGGTGAAAGTGATCATCAAGTTGTTGCCGCTGTAGATGCTTGGAAACATTCAGATTTCCTGTGCAGAAACTACATCCTCAATGGCCTTGACAACATGTTGTATAATGTTTACAGCCCTCTGAAGTCAGCAAAAGAATTGTGGGATTTCTAATCCTTTGGAGAAGAAATACAAGATAGAGGATGCCGACACAAAGAAATTTGTTGTCGGTAAATTTCTGGACTTTGTTATGGTAGACTCCCAAATGGTAATTTCTCAACTTCAAAATTTTCAAATAATTTTGCATGATATTCATTCAGAAGGTATGTCTCTTACCGAGTCTTTCCAAGTCGCTGCTCTAGTGGAAAAGTTACCATCGGCTTGAAAAGATTTCAAAAATTATTTAAAACATAAACACAAGGAGATGACCATGGATGAATTGATTGTAAGATTGAGAATTGAGGAAGATAACCGAAAGGGTGAAAAAAGGAATGGGAAAAATCCCATTGAGTCCAAGGCTATGTGGTTGAACAAGTTCACAAACCACATAACAAAAAGAGAAAGTTTACTGGAGATGGTCCTAAACAAGGCAACAACGATGGTAATAAGAAGTTCAAAGGAAAATGCTATAACTGTGGCAAGACTGGACATCGAGCTTCTGACTGCCGCCGCCCTAAGAAGGATCGCGGAAGTATAAGCAAGAATACTACCAATCAGGCCAATGTAACTGAACTAGATTACATCTCTGACGGGGTGAATGACATCAACCTCTCTACTGTGGTGTCTGAGGCTAATTTGGTTGGAAATCCCAAGGAGTGGTGGGTTGACACTGGAGCAACTCGTCAGATGTTCACTACCTACAATGAGGCTGCAAATGGTGAACAATTTTTCATGGGAAATTCTTCTACTTCTACTGTGGCTGGACAAGGAAAAGTGATCTTGAAGATGACATCAGGGAAAGAACTGACCCTCAACAACATACTGCATGTACCTGACATCCGGAAGAATTTGGTTTCTGGCTCTTTGTTAAGTAAAAATGGTTTTAGGCTTGTATTTGAGTCTGATAAATTTGTATTATCAAAGAGTGGTATGTATGTTGGTAAGGGATACGTGAGTGATGGTCTCTTCAAATTAAATATAATGACAGTTGTACCAAAAATTGCTATGAATAAGAATAACACATTTTTTGTTTATATTCTTGAGTCGAATTTATGGCATGGTAGATTAGGATATGTAAATTTTGATGCTTTGCGTAGATTAATTGGTTTGGATTATATACTAAAGTTTGAAATTGATCCTAATCATAAATGTGAAATTTGTGTAGAAGCAAAACTGACTAAGACTCCATTTAAATCAGTTGAAAGGAAAACCGAATCTCCAGAATTAATTCATACAGATATATGTGATCTTAAATTTGTTCAAACTAGAAAAGGCAAAAAGTATTTCATAACATTTATCGATGATTGCACAAGATATTGTTATGTTTATTTACTTAGAAGTAAAGATAAAGCCTTAGAAATGTTTAAACTCTACAAAACAGAAGTTGAAAATCAACTTGGTAAAACCATTAAAATGGTTAGAAGTGATAGGAGTGGTGAATATGATGCACCATTAAATGAATTTTATGCACAACATAGCATTATTCACCAAACTACAGCACCCTATTCTCCTCAACAAAATGGAATTGTTGAAAAGAAGAATAAAATCCTAAAAGAAATGATGAATGCCATGTTACTAAGTTCAGGCTTACCACAGAACTTATGGGAGGAAGCAATCTGTCCGTTTTTATTTCAAAATTCTGGTTGGAAATTAAATTCAAATTTTGTAATGCACATCTTCAGAAATTCTGTCCAAACCGAATCTGTTCCACCCGAACAGATTTCAAATCTATTTAATTTTCAAATTCAAACAGATTCGGTTATCTGTCTAAACAGTACCAATTCAAACTCAAAAGGTTCAGTACCTGTTCAATTCAAAATATAAGGGTGCCATTACATCTATAAATAGACTAGCTCTCATTTGATGTTTCATTCACTATTTTCGTCCCAAATAATTATGCTATTATTCTCTTCATATTGTTGTATTAGTTTTCTGTGAGAAAGAGTATATACACTTAGTGTGTTCGTTGTACGAATAAATTGTAATGCTGCATTTATTCGTTGTTTGATCATTTTATCCTGAGAGATAGACGTCCATATTTTGAAAGCACCGTGGAGAGGATGAATATATCTTAAAGACACAATGTCTAACACTGGACTTGATCAGAATATTGTACAAGAAATTAATCAAATATGTTAATTCTTTTTCTGTTTTATTATTATTTACTTAAATCAGATTTTGATTTTGTTTTTGTAACAAAATAAAAATCTGTTTTTATTTATTTACTTTTATTTATTGGTTTGATTTTTGTAATCAAACATTCTCTCTCCTTTCCTATTTTTCTTTTATATTTTGTTTGTCGTTTAGTAGCCAAACAGAATTAATTTATTTAAGTACAGTGAAGATTGTCCAACAATCCACCTGTTCTCTTTCGGACACAGCTCTTTACAGACAGCAAAAGAAATGAAAGAAAAGAGAGCAAGAGAGAACTTGGTCGAAGCTCCATACAGTAGATCTAGTCGAAGCTCCATCCAGTCGAAAATCGAAGACCTCCAGTTGAAGCTCCATCCAGTCGATCCAGTCGAAGATTGAAGCTCTATCAGTCGATCGAACAGTCGAACACCCCAGACGACTTCGAAAAGCCTCTCTCTCTCTCGCATTCTCTCTCTCACGCGATCGCGATCTCGATCGCGATCGATCGCTTCGCTTTTCTCTCCCTCTCTCTCTGTCGTTTTATCTTCTTCTCTTGATTCATATCTCTGTCTCTTGATTCATATCTATTCGTATCTATCTATATATAATAATAATAATAATAGTTAAGGAACTGAATAATAAATAATAATAACTATTATTACAATAACTATAATAATCAGAATCTTACGATTCGCGATTCGATTCACGATTCGATTCACAATTTTTGCAAAATCGATACGAATCTATAAGTGAATCTCTTTTTTATCAAAATCTTACGATTCGCGATTCGATTCACGATTCGATTCAAATTTTTTGCAAAATCGATACGAATCTATGGGTGAATCTATTTTGGAAGTAAATCTCTAGTGAATCGCACGATTCACAATCGATTTACGATTCAATTCACTTTTTATGATTCATGTAATTTTTTAAATTATTGTGTCCGGCATATTTTCGACTATTTTTTTTTCCATGTTTTTAGTGAAAATGACATAATACAACTTTTAATAGCGTTTAATACTAAAATAACCAACATATATACATAATTTGTTGTTATTTTAGTGATCATGAAATTTTTAATAGAATCCAATCAGATTCAGTCAGACCCAACATATTTTTAACCTTTCTTCTCATTTTTTTTTCCCTTTAAAAATTCATAATATATCTTCTAAAGATGTGTAAGATTAAAGTTACAATATGAATTATCTATTACTATTTTATTAAATTGAATATAATTGAATATTACATATGTGAGGTCTGTTATACCTTTGAAAATGTTTTAGGCTTTAAAATAAAATATTCTAAATAATTCTTTCTTATTATTTGCTCACTGTTACTTAGAAAAGTACGTATGCTTATTGTCCAAATATCAATATCGTTATTAATTATTGTTATTTTGGAAATTGATAATTTGTCTATTTGGTTATTATCTTTATTAAGAATGGTTGATAAAAAATATCTAAAAAGAAAAAAAGTAAGATAGTGATCTTACATAAAAATCTTTGTTAACTTCTTACCTATTAAACTATGTGATTATCACGCAAAATAACATTTTCATTGATTTAAGTCTAAATATTTCATATTCATAAGATATATTTAACATCTAAATGTGTAAATATATATTTTTAAGTAATTTTAAAAAAGTGACCGAATCTTTACGATTCACGATTCGATTCGATTCGCGATTCGGTACAAGATCATTTCGATTCACGATACGAATCTCGATTTGACAACTATGATAATACCCATAATACCTCACCAACAATGGTAGCAGCATTCAAAGTAACACGGAGGTAGCATGGTAATGGATTGGGCAGTAGTGTAGTGATGTGGAACTTCCAATGGTGGTGTCGGTACCAATGCTCTTAACAACAACAATGATGATGACACGTGGCATAAGTAATGGTATTGTCCCGGTAGAAGTGTGACAGGTATGATCATGGCCAAACGAAGATAGCAATGGAAACTTTGGTGGTCATATCAATGGCTCCAATAGTTGTGTTTCTACTATAGTTAACAATCCTTTTCTTCACGGTCATTTGATTTTAGGACTATGACTTTGAAATAACACCTACTTTCAAAGAACTTCAAATGTGTGATTCAGAACTTTAAAGTCCCCCTAATAATTCTAAGAATCCTCAAATCTTTAACCTCAAAAGGGATTTTAAAACTGAGGATTCTCAAATTCTATTACAGCATTAACAAGCTTCAAACTGCACTAAGAAATCACAATGTTGGACTTGCAACCAACAAAGCAAACCACGGCTTCAACAATTCATTATTTTTTTTAATCTTTTTCTCTATTCTTGGAATTTCTTGAAAAACAAACAGAAGACTAAGGTACATCGAAAAGACATGATTTCTAAATAAAACTTCAAATTTCATAGTTAAAACGAAATCAAAGAAAATGCCATGAGATTTACCAGTAAGAGATTGGAAGCAATGGAGATCGAAATTGTCAGCTTCGAGAAGCTCGATCCCTGAACATCCCATGATAGGCGATAGCTGTTGAGAGATAGCGTGCATTGAATGCCATAAACTCGCCAATCTCAAGCTATCATTCGTATCCATTCGTCCCGCAGAGCCGTAATCCTATCATTTTTCACGAATTCATAAAAACTAACGAAACTGAAATTGGTGTTCCTGTTTGTTTATATAGAAAATTATGACAAGAAAATACAAATGAGAGAGAGAGAGAGAGAGAGAGAGAGAGAGAGAGATTTGAGTTTGACCTTATAGAAGATGAGGCCTCCTGATTTGTTGATGATGTAGAAGCTGTAAACAGCTGCCATTTTTTGAATGGAGCTCAAGCCCTAGACACAGACAGGGTTGAATTGGGGATGGTGATTATAGCGAACAAAAATGCTTTAAACCACTAAGTGGGGTGATGTGACAGTGACCCACTATCACATGTATTTTGTATCTTATTTTTTATTTATTTATTTATTTGGCTCTTTAAAAACGGGTTCTTGAACCCCCCGAGCCATTGATAAAATCAACTATTTGCTTTTGCTATTTTCAACCATGAAAAAATTCAAAAAAAATTCACCAATTCTGACTATTAAAGTCTCAGTTAAAGACTTGGTAATGAGAGTTGATAACTCATCATTCCATTGGCGAATTTCCATATCAAATTGATGAATTTCTCCAATTAAATTGTGTCTTTTTTCTTCCACCAAATAATATTGTAAGGGATGAAAGTTTATTTCATCAAGAAAATGGATCTCTTCTTGAAGATCCAAAATTTTTTGTTTACGCCAATAGATTTTATCTAGGCTATTTGAAATGGACAAATCCAATTCATTTTTCATTTTTACACTTGACGTCCCACTGGGCGTGCCAAAAATTGTTGGCTTATTTTTCCTACGAAGGAAAATATCATAAATGCGAGCGTGCCAGCAACGATTGAAAAATCCTTACAGATTAAATTCAAGCCAATTATCAAACGATTGCGTTGACGGTTCTTTTGCCTCAACAAAGAGGACTTCAAAATTGTCAAGTGTAGAAAAAAGAAAAATTAAAAGAAGAATGAGGGAGACGGAGAAAGACGATTGAGTGAACAATCAAAGTAATAATTACTTGCCTCTACTCCTATGCTTCAAAAAAGAAATGCTGAAAATAAATGTTTCGAAATATAAATCTATGTTAAGCTGCTCCTAAGATAAGGAAAATGACAAGAAATATTGAAATCAATTGTCTTTGATTTTAATTCTGGATCTTTTATAATATAGCAATGAATGACTATTTATAGGCAAATATTTGTAAGAAAAAACTTCCAGTAATAACTACCCAATAACCACCTAAAACTACCCACTCTTTCATTTTCATTCCCACAATGCCACATATCCCTCCATGACTTCATAACTTCATTTAACCTCTAATTCATGCACCATGTTCTTCACTTTATTCTCCATCATCTTTTCACATTTCATAACTTTTCATAACCTCCAAATAAGCAGGAGAATGCCACATGTCCTGCAATTATATAAATAATAAATAATAATAAAAATTATAGATTTATGGTGCCAACAGTCTGACTTCTAAATATGTATCCACACCTGATACTCGTAACCGAATCCGTGTAACATAGCTGATAAGCCAACATCTCACACATGAAACACATCTTAATGAATAGTGATTAACGGAAGAGTGACCCGAGCAGAAAAAATAGGGTATTGGGAGGGTAAGTGTTCCTGTATGGTTGGATTGTCTCTTAAGATGTATTCCGCAGAATAGACATTTTTGGTGGCAACATAATTCTTGATACTTTACAGATAAAACAGGTATGCACCCACTCAAAAAACTTGTATTGTTGGTGAACCTTCTCCATTACTTCAAATAGAGGATTGACTTGACTTGACCATCAAAACCACATAGGCAGCACTCTTAACAGGTTGCTTTCTTGTAGAAGGTAAAGACTCGTAAGGCGTGAACACGATAGGAATCTTGTAAAATTGGTCGAGGTCATTGGAATAATAAAATTCAACTGAAGCAGCTAGAAACTACACAATTTTATTCAAGAAAAGAACCATGTAGAATGAAAGGGGGAAAAAAAATTTATAGAATGAAATTCATCTAGTATGCATTATGGCCTAAGGTTCTAATTTTTTATATTTCTTGTACATTTAATTCTTGAAATGGCTAGGTAAAATAAAGTCTTACTGAAATACATATCTAAAAAATTGACTAGTTAAATTTTTATTTATTTATTTTTTAAACTGGGAAAAATGCCCAGTAATGTTGAAATTGGTCTTAATCCAAGCCAATCAACTTTATTAAGGCTTAAAGTTGGGTTTGATTAGTGATCTCTATGAAAATCTTTATGACTAGTCATGCAATTTAATCAATACTCTTCACCCTCAAAGAGACCTAGTTAAAACTAGAATTTTAACCTCCTCACTTAAATCCTAACTAAGAACTAGTGGTTATATAATATAATAATGAGCTTACCGCCACTCATTTGTAATGAGAGAAATAAACTTTGGCAATCCTAATAAAGTAGCAAGACAATAAGCATGTTATTATTGTAACCCCCTCAAAAGGTATTTCTCAACAATGAATGAATTGATGAGTGAATGAATTACTTATAATTTTATTCAATTTCTCCACATGTGAAATTGATTGATATATGTTACACTTCCTTACATTGCCATAAACAAAAGTGAGGTCAAGTAGAGCATTCACTGCGTACAATACTCACAGAAATTCATGATCCAAACATAATTTAAGTCAAATCTTGTTTTTGCATTTTTCTTGCCTGTGTTTTTTTTTTTTTTTCCTACCCAAACATTACGTTCATTCTCAACCTTACTTGTCACTCACACCCATCCCAGTTTCACTTGTAATCCTGCCCTGTCCGACCCAATCCATTTAGGCCTTGTTTGGCAAGTAATTGTTTTAGTTTAAAAGTTAAAAAATTATTAAAAAAATCAAAAAGCCTATAACCTATACCAAAAAGTCAAAGATTCTCATTTCTCTATACTTTTTGCATATCTTTTCGTAAAAAACTAAAAAGTCAACACCCATCCTAGTTTCGCTTGTAATCCTGCCCTGTCCGACCCAATCCATTTAGGCCTCGTTCGACAAGTAATTGTTTTAGTTTAAAAGTTAAAAAGTTATTAAAAAAATCAAAAAGCCTATAACCTATACCAAAAAGTCAAAGATTCTCATTTCTCTATACTTTTTGCATATCTTTTCGTAAAAAACTAAAAAGTCACCCCAAAAATAATAATTTTTTTTACCTCATATTTTAGCCAAAAAGTCATTAAAATAACATGTTCCCAAACGAGGCCTTAGTATAACAATTTACATTTTATAAATTAATACTATCAAATAATGTGGTTTGATAATAATATAGTATGACAATTGACATATGTACGGGAAAGAAATAAACCTTCTCGTATAATCATGTTGATCAAGTCTGCGCTCCTTCGTACGACGTTGCTCTACTCCTTGAAAACACAAATGTGAGGTAGCCGGCGGGTGTGTGCTGGAAACCTCTCTGATGCCTAAGTCAGCAAACTAGACAAATAAACAAAAGCTCTGTGTATTCGGGAATCAAAGTTGCGTTACCTCTCCATAGGTGATGTTTGTGAGCTTTTGTAGGTTCCGTGTGGCACAATCTATAGCGATCCCGGTTATCCCTTTTCTGTTCTGTTGTTTTCCGGACGCGGTTCCGTGGAGTTGGTAGTTGTACCTATCGTGTTGTCGATCTTTAAACTCCTTTGTTTGAGTTTTAGAACGTGTTGGGTTCGGTTGTTTCAGGTTGGTAGAGCTTTAGCTCCCATTGTTGTTGCCCAGTTTTTGAACGGTCCGCTCGAGCGGGTCTTCTTGCGCTCGAGCGGGGTTTTCACAGTTTCAGTATTTCGTGCCTCTGCAAAACTTCTGCAGATGTGTTTTCTACGCTCGAGCGGGTTTCTTGTGCTCGAACGGGTCGAGCTCGAGTGGACTTGTTAGCGCTCGAGCGTGTGGTACTTCTTGGTGTAAGTTCTGGGAGGGAGAAATCTACGCTCGAGCGGCGGATGTACTTTATTCTTGTGCCTTGGTGCTCGAGCGGGCCTTTTTGCGCTCGAGCATACCTAGCTTTTGTCCTTGACGCTCGAGCGTTGTGTTCTCCGCTCGAGCGGGAGAGTCGTATATCAGTTGACAGCTAGGCTATTTTAAATCACTTTTTACATCCACACTCTCTCTCTTACTTTTCTAAAACTCCATTGGAGAGCTTCTCTCACTAGAAACCTAACTTCTGTCTAGGGTTTGATCTAGTAGGAGTGTTTTCCTCACCTTGAGCCTTTGTAAAAAGTGTATTGATCGTTGAGGGCTACATCTTGATCCGAGAAAGTTGGAGTTTGGAACACATCCGAGTTTTTCTCTTCTCCATTTGAGTTCTCCATTTGAGGTAGGGATTCTCCTTGTACTTTTTCAATACTCCGTCTATAGATAGACATGTGGTAGTTTTTGTATTGCATGAAAATGAAATCATGTGGATTTGTTGAAAATCATGAGGTTGTACCTTGGGTTGGTTGTTGAATTTGGGTTTATTATCATTAGTTGTGGATTGGGCTAATTGGCGTGTCAATTAGCATGTTGTTGTTGAAAGGAGAGGGAACCCTTATTTTTTATTAGACCTAATGAATTAAAAAGAGGGGTTTTGATCTTTGGGCAAACACTTATGTATTTTGGGTCTTAAATGAGGTCATGGTTGTGAATTGTAGTTGATTGAGCCTTTTTGGTCAATATTGAGAAACAGGGAGGAAAACCTTAATTTAAGGATTTCGATTTAAATTGCGTAATTAGTTTGGAATGGCTTTGGAAAGAATGTAATGGATTAAAATGAATCATAGTTCTATTATCCATGGATTTGGTTTTGTGAAAACAAAAAGGAATGAGATTGGTTTTGTGGAAACAAAAGGGGTGTAGTTAGTTTTGTGAAAGTAAAAGGGAGTGGAAATTCGTTTTGTGAAATGAGAAAGATATTTTCTGAAATAAGTTTAAACATTGAAATGTTGTATCTTGAGTGTTGAACACACACTTGTGGGGAATCGTAGCTTTAACTATTATTGTTAATGTTGTTGTTGGGTTTGTGGTCTCATAGTAATTGAGTTCTTAATAGATGTATTAAATATTTGCATCTAGAGGTTCTGTCCTTGGTCATCGGTGGAGGATGACATGGTGGTGTTGAATTGTCGTGTTTGCATTATACCATTGTTAATGGAACATCGCATGTGATGAATTTTTGAGATACATTATATATGTATGCTTGCTCAGAAGAGGTAGTATGTGTTCATATAATTTAACACATTGTTTGTATCTAGATGGTTTATGTATATACGTTATACATGTTGGTTGTGCCTTGTTGCATTTGGTTGGTGGTGTAATACCCTGCGCT